AGGGAAAGCAGGAGGGGAAGACAAAAGTGATAAATCCCTTCTTTTCAGTAGAATTGTCCACTTCTGTTAAATCCTTTTGAATTGAAGTGGGAGGTTTCTTTTTCGCTAAATCTGCCTGAAGGAGCTTCTAACATTGCAGATATCTTACCAATGTTGTTAGTAGCCTTTAAAGGGCTACTAGGGAGTACACTGCTCTTGAAGTATCTATGCAGAAACTTCCTACATGCTTCCTTTGGGCAAATAAGTAATGGATGTTTTCCTTTGCTCCCCACCCCCCTTAACGTACTGCCAGTTTCAAAGATGTTATATCACCACAGCACAGATGTAAATTTGCACAAAGCTATGAAAGCATAGCTCATTTCCCCCAGGCAGCATTCTGCATTCTTTTTTTGTCTGTCATTCCATATTTCTGCTACACTCAGGCTGACTTCTCTTTCCAAATAACTGTCCATTCCAATCCACAAATTTTGGCAAAAGTCACTTTTTTTTTGGTTGTTGTTGCCATCAGCTATCTGAAGGACAGTTGGGGCAGAGGTTGCTAATTTATCCAAAAGGTTCCCACTTGATACAATATCTGAGGGAAGTTGAAACAAACTCTGTGTCCCCTCTATGTATAATCAGTTTAAACTTGTAAATTCAGGGTTCATTTCTGTACGACTAAAGACAAAAATTCACTAAAATGTGTGGCTTTCCCTGGATGTAGCCTAAGCACACTGTAAAGATAAGTCTGTAGGGTACGATGTTGTCAAATGCAATATGGGAAGTCTGGTTGAAAAGTAAATGTTTAAAGGCATTGGCCAACATTTTAAATAAAGGACATGCTTTTCATCATAGTACTGTGGTATACTTCCCTGGGATATGTAAGTAGTAACTGCTCAGAAGAGAAGTAGCAATGACCTTCAGGTTTATTGTGGGCCTTATTCCAAAGGGTGAACTGTGAGGGCAGCCTGATCACAGCAGTACAAACTTTTCCCTTCATTTTCCCATATACCCCAAGGCTTTGGATTCCTCTGGTCCTAGCCCACACACATTTGCATGTTTTATTTATGTTTGTTAGCCCCAAGTAGCCATGTTCTCAGGACACAGCTGAGAAGTAGTATGTGCAGCAGCTAGATTCAAATCAGCATTTGCCAGATTTTCAAAACTCAGTGTTTGTGTTGGGTTTTACATCAGTGTTATTCTAGGAAACAATGCTGTGCAATACTCAAAAGTTTCCTGTATCCAGTTTATTTTTTCTAGAAAATACTGCTTTGGGGAGGCTTTTTATTTACTGTGGAAAATTGTATTGTCCCTTCAAGGTTGCACCCAGCATTCTTAACACTATTTGGTTGTTGTTTTTCTGTTGTTGTCATTTTTAAAGGCTTCTGGCTCAATTACATGAAACTGAGACTGCCTTTGATGAGTTTTGGATCAAGCATCAGCAAAAACTTGAGCAGTGTTTGCACCTTCGGAATTTTGAACAGAATTTTAGAGAGGTGAGAACTTCTTGGTGGCAATCAGTATTTGGTAATGCAGAAGTTATTGAGAAGAAAGTACTTCTCACTCTTGGTTTTGCAGCTCTGGTGTGTGCTTGAAAACTTTCTCCAGCCTTCTTCTTGTACATGTCCTTGCCTGACATCCTGCTATCTTTACTACCTTGAATACTTTCCTATAGAGACATATTTGCTTCTCTTCTGCAGTCCTATGATTTTTTTTTTCCACAGGCCAAGCAGTGCCTAAGTATTCAATAACTTCTTTGAAACCTGTTCTTCACCACAGAAGCATAAAATGCTGGCTGCAAACCTTTCATCTTGCCAATAGGCCCTTTTCTGGAACTAAGACTTACCTAAACCTTCTGGATGAAATGTTTTAAGTCAGACTCCAACGCTGTGGGTGGGAAGCTGCAACCACGCTGTTAGAAACTGGGCGGAGGCTGAATTAGGATTTTTACAGCCAGTTCCTGATCTCATGTTAGGTTAACTCATACTCTTGATGGCACCTACAGTCATTTTGCTCTAGTTCAGCTGATCTCAGAGCCCCTGTGGCTCCATGGGAGCAATGCTCATAAATCTTCTTACAGGTGTGTGTCTGTCTGTCTCATGACCAATTGTTAGGGTGAGGACCTGTCCCTCACATTTTGTGGTTTATGTTAATGTCATTTTGTATTATTGTCATCTGGTAAAAGCAAGATCTTAAATGTTTCCTGAACATCAGTTTTCCTGCATTTTTTTGTTTCAGTGCCAGGAAACAGGATTACTTCACTGCATTTTCTTTGTATTTGTTTTCATTTTGAATTGAGGGTAAAGGTAGGTTCACAAAAAGTGATTTGCCTCTGTGCTCCAGTAACCCCTAATGTGAGTCACCTGACTGGAAATTAATAAATGAGCCTCCAGAGAAGTGGAATTATCTTCATTGATACAAAACTGTGCCTCATTTTAGGTCAAAGCAGCTTTGGATACCGTGTCCGAGAGACTGTATGCTTTCACAGATGTGGGAAACAGCCTTTCACATGTGGAGCACATTTTGAAAGATCTTGCCAACTTTGAAGAAAAATCATCTGTAAGAACTCTGCAAGTCTCTTTAATTTCTAGTACAACAGTGCGTGTGTGGAGGGAAACAGTATTTGGTTATTGGATTTATCTTATGAGCAGAGCTTAAGCTGACAACAGAGCAGAATCAGTGTGTAAAGTAACGTGCAGAAGGAATTTGAATCAAGTCTTTAACCACTGGAACAGCTCAGTTTTCAGGCATCTCCAATAAAGACCAGAGTGACCAGCCACAAAGTCGCTTTGTTTGCTCATGGAAGAATTGCATGAAGTATCTGCATAGCCAAGTTTTGCACTTAGTGATCAAGGGCCACTTCCATTCCTATTAAATTCACTTATGTCCTTAAATCTCAGAAAGGAGAAGGCTGTGTATTGAGTGTACAATATGATGAAAGATGACCAACAGAAACACACTCTGAATAATGCAGAAAGGGTACCTTATTTTGATCTGTGCTTCACAGTAAGTATAGCTGTTTAAGTGAGGTCATTACTCTTGAGGCTGAGGTGCTGGAGTTGGGCATTTTTAAATTTTGGGTTCCAATTGCTGCTGTACTCCAACTTGCATGCATACGCACAAATACACGCTGCTGAATAACTAAAGCATAGAAGAACTCATAGGGTTTCCTTCACAGAGGCCATATGATTAAAATCATTAATGGTTCTGAAGTACTCTGATACAATCAAAGGTGGGGGCATAAAAGTTCGTAGGCATCTTGGAAGACAGGAAATCACTTTGATTAAGCAAGGCAGCTGTTCACTAAAGATGTATTCTATATCAACATGTGTCTTTCACTGCATAAAAATAGTTTGGGGTTTTTTTTGTTTTTGTTTGTTTGTTTGTTGGTTTTTTTCACTGATGTTGATCCAAGGAAGGATGTACCTAAATCAGTGCTTGTTTTCTTAGGAAACTATAGCAAAAGCCAGAATGCTAGCCTCTGAGGGTGATGATTTTATTCAAAGCAATCATTATGCTGTGGACTCCATTATTCCAAAATGCAGTGAACTTCATCATCTCTGTGACGCCCTCACTACTGAGACAGAACAGAGGAGGAATCTTCTTAACAAGTCTCTAGAACTGCATGGCTTACTAGAAAAGGTAAATTTAATGTGAAACAGTTGTTTCCCATCTTGTTTGCTAAAACCTCAGTAAACCGGTTGTCATAATGGCAGTTAAAAATATCTGGGTGTGCTAGAAGAAGTTTTCTTCTTAAATAGCTGAATACATCACAAGGAGAGGTATGAAATGGTTTAGATCTCTTAGTGTTTGATACTGACATCAATGCATTCTGAGCCTGTTTTTTTCTCTGTTTCTAGTCTATGAAGTGGTGCGATGAAGGAATTTATCTGCTGGCTTCGCAGCCAGTAGACAAATGTCAGTCTCAGGATGGTGCAGAATCAGCATTACAGGAGATTGAGAAATTCCTGGATACTGGTGCAGGCAATAAAATCAAGGAATTGAGTAAAATTTACAGAGAATATGCACATATCCTCAACGAGGACCTAAAGGTACCAGAAGGTGTTTATGTGTATGGGTCCATTTGCTAATTTTAGGATTGCTGTCTTGCATGGCTGTTGCTAACGCTAAATAATCACCACTAGGAGTTATACCTGGGAACTGGAAAGCCAACACAGTTCCCTACCTGCAGTGGTAGTCTTGTCATATCTTTGGAAAAGCAAAAGGTTTCAGATCTGCTTAATAACTACTTCAATTGTTCAGGTAGTAGGACTGCTAAAAAAAATAAAATCTCCCAAGTGAGTATTTGAAATAACTTTTTAAAGTAGAAAAAACATGCCTGTCCCTGATCTTTTTATGATTTGTGCTTTGTAACTGCTTTTTTGTTATAGAACTTCAGAATATATTCCTTTTTCCTCTTGGTTGATCTCTTCATGTAACAGAACCATTAGACACTGTCAAAAAAACTTTCCTATATATATATTTTTTTTTTTTTCATTGAAACTTGAACCCTACTGGTTTCTCTACAGCAAGCACACAAAATGTTTTATGAAGTGATGTTCCAACTTTTAAGTATACTAAATGACTGTAAATTATGCCTTGTTAGGAGTGAAGAGTAGGGTAATATTTTTATATGAGGTATAAAAGCAATTGCAATTTCAAATCAATGTGCTGTAATGGCAGTGTAGCTTGTTGATAGGTCTCTGATGGATTATTTTATTTAATTATTATTATTATTATTTCTGTGGCAACGGTAGGAACATGTCCAAAAGGTTTTCCAGAAGCAAGAAAGTATGGAAGAAATGTTTCAAAAGAGACAAGTGAGTCTTAAGAAACTGGCAGCTAAGCAGACACGTCCTGTTCAGCCAGTTGCACCAAGACCTGAAGCCTTTGTAAAATCTCCTTGCACCTCTCCAGGTAAGTAACTGTGGTAGCCTTTAACTAATTTTTTGTGCTATTCTGCGAAACTGGAATAAACTTTCAGCTGTATTTTGTGGTTGCAGAAGCATCTGTGTGAGATCTGTTCAAGTTCTAACTGATATTTGAATCTGGTTTACGTGCTTAGGTCTTCAAAGAGACTACGGATCCAACTCAGAAAGCAGTGCCATTCGGAGGGTAAACTACAGAAAAGGAAAGGTAATCCTTTTTCTTTGCACATGCTGCTTGGGAAAGTCGTAATACAATGGAATGGAATATTCAAGGGCTTTGGGAAAAATGAGGCAATTCCCCTGAAAAAGTGATGGTATTGCCTCTCTCAAAGTAACTCTGGTGAAGCAGTCATGGGGTTTAAATAGAGGCTCCTTTGTCACCGGGCTGGGTATGAGGGAAGGTAAATAGTTGCCTATATTAGGAAAAATGTTAGGGGCAGCAAAATATAAAATCTGTGAACAGGAAACATTTATTATTTGCCAGTAGTAATTGGCTACTCTTAAAACTGGCAAAAGTGAAGAGGTAGTTGATGTTGGCTCCAAGACAGCTTCACTTGACCTAATGGGTTGCCGTTCCCAATTGGGGATGGTCTTCCTGCCCCGCCTCCAGCAAGGAAAGTAGCCTGACAGCAGCAGCAGAGACAAATACTTTCCCACTGGGTTAGAGAGTTGAATCAACTCAGTGCAGGTTCAGCAAGACACAATGCAAGGAGGAAGGCAAGACCGTGTGACCATCAGGGACAACAGCTGGAGAAAAGGCTTGGGTGAAAAGAGGATTGAAAGCAGGACCTCTTCTTTCTTTCAGCAAGCCATAATTAGGTCAGCTGTTATGGTAGAGGTTGGAAGAGTGAACTTCTCTGTCAAGTTAGGAAGTTACTAGAAAGTTAGCACAGTACCTCATTTTTAGCTTGGAAAACAGACTAAGGCCAGCGTTGCTTCCAGGATTATGCTGATGCTCTGATGTTGTCTACCTGGAAAGTGGCCTTGAACCATGGTCTTTTCTGAGCTGGCCTTTCATGGAGGACTCTCTTTCTCTAAATGTTCTTGTGTGCTTCAGGACCTCCCAGTTGACTTGGAATATATTTTTTTTTTCAGTGTTCTTGCAAATTGCTTTAATATTTAATGGTGTACAGTCTTGCCAGTGAAGATGCATACAAATAAAGCTGAGCGCAGAGCTCTTTATCTTAGTGTTTTTCCCCCCATCTGTAATGGTGTGATGATTATTTTTCTTGTTTCCTTCCTTCTTTAGAGTGAAATGACTGAACTCCATCAAAGCAGAGGAGGATCTACAATGGATGATGAAGAAAACCTAGCTGTGTTACGGCAGTAAGTATATTTTGATAAACAAAATGTGTTTTCTCTGATTTGGCTCTAGCAAAGGCTGAGCTTGGCTGAGAATTTGGTAAGACAAGTATGCTACTCTGAATTAAGCCCCTGTGCTTTTTGAAATGCATCGGCTGTGCTCTCAAGACAGGGGAAGGTATTTCAGTATGTCTGCAGCATTCTTTATAGTTTATATAGTATAGGACTCTAGTCTGTTGTGAGGTGCTGTGGCTAGGTGATGCTATATCAGGATACCTATGTATGTTCATTTTGGAGATGACAAAATGAGTGGTAAGCCTGTTGTAAATCTATTGGAAGTTTTGGTCTCCATGCTTCAGAAGACTTTGTCTTTTGATTTTACCTTTTTAGTCTCTGTTTTCTTAAATGTTATGAAAAATCACTTATAGAAAAACTAAGCAACATTGCTTGTTTTAAAAAAAACAACTTAGTACCACCCACAACTATCTAGCAGAGCTTACATTTCTCCTGTAAACTGCTATCGTTTCACTGTTACAATCATGTGTTAAACCATACAAAATCACAAGGGGCGGAGGCCAGGGGAAGCATGCTTGCTAGACCATTAAGGAAAATAAACTTAAAGCAGCATTCTGGTGTTTAAAGTGTGCCCCAATTAGTGTACCTCTAATTTAAAATTTAAAACTGATGTGACTTTAAGTTTCGTAGGCAGCTCTAACTTCATCTCCTGTAACACTTGCACACACAGCGTAACCAGGTTTTGAATGTACAATGATAAAATACTTCACTGCTTCACTTCAGTTACTACAGCAGTCACTGAAAATGCTAGATTTTACTTTTTTCCTGTTCAAACACATATTCAAAAGTTTTTAAATGCTGTTAAAATACTTAGTTCTCAATAAGGATGTATAAACTGTTGACAGAAATATCCATTAAAAGTCTTGTTTTCCCTTACCTGGAAGTTGTTCCTTTACTGTCTGAAGTGAAGTAGAAACACAAAGTTCATGTTGCCTCATTACTTTGCATAAGTGAATAGGCCTGCCTTACTTGTCATTCTTTGTCTACAGACATGTGATTAATGAACTTATTGAAACCGAACGAGCATATGTGGAAGAACTTCTCTGCGTTCTTGAGGTAATAAATTTCACCATGGCTGGTAGTGAATGTCTCTCTTCCATTTCATGGATGCTCTAGTGCTTACCTTATCTCTGTAATGCCTCTGCTTGTCCTGCCAAGCAGCGTGATCCTTACATCTCTCTTCTCTAATCTTATTTTCATAGAGACAGGAATGTGCAACTTCTTTTCTAGGAACATTCATGCAGCTAAGATTTTGTATTAGAAAACACAAAGTGGGCAGAAAATAAGATATGTCTGACTATTTAGGTGACACACAGTGAGATTTGTAATGATTGTTAATTCCTGTAAATGTTCATTCTATTGTCTTGGGTCAACTCCAGAAAGGTTGTGTGTCGCACAGGAATATGAATCTGCATTGAGAGAATCTTTAGTCAGAGGAGAAAACTTGTCTCTTGCATCCCTCTTGGCATATTTTTAAGTGGCATTTGAAATGTCTTGGGTACAACTGTGGCAACATAATGTCTTATAATATAAACATAATATCTTATAATATCTTAATTCAAAATTCTAAAGGAAACAAAGATGTTCCCTTTACTCCGCACTTGTGAAGGCACAACTTCAGTACTGCTGAGTTGCTTGGAGAAATTTGCTGCAGTGTTCTGTGTTCTTCCTCAAGTTTAAGTATTCAGACCTGGATGCATTTTGTTGCAGTCACATTTGACTGTAGGAGATGATGAAATTGCAGACAACTGAGATTGAATGGTTTTAATCAAGATGAATTGGAACTGAGCCAAGTGCATACCCTTGGTGTCCATGCCAACGTTAAGCTTCCAAATAGGAGCTATCAAGTTATGGACTGGGAGTGATGATTTCTGAGTACGTACCTTCTGGGTATTGAACTCTGGTCTTGCTTCTGCCTAGTTTGTCCTCAGCTTCCCATACCATTTATGTCCTGGATCTGGTCCAAGTGCTAGGCAGGGTGGTCACATCTAACGTGTGTTTTGTTGCAGGGTAGGCCTGGAGTAGACCTTAAGGATCACTTTATTCCCTGCTGTTGCATGCCATGTAATCTGTACAGTTCTGTTTATAAAATCAAGACTTGAATAATGGGAGGACTTTTGGTCCTTACTGCTGCTACTGGAGGGTTGTTGTAGAATCTTTCTATTCCTCTGGTATTACTCTTGTTTTGCACAGAGTATAGTGCAATCCTTGTCTTGCTAGGCCGAGCTGTCTTGGTTTTCTGCCAATGTGATAGACTCTCCAGTACTCTGATTGTGCCAGGCACACTTCTCTGTGCCTCCTTGCTATTTAGGATTAATCTCTCTTGAACTTGGATGAGTGGGACTGCCAACAGTAATTCTGAATCAAATCCTTGCTGAGGAATGGTTCAGTGGCAGTCTTCCATCTTTTGAGTAATTCTAGCTTTTAATCTGTAGTTCTGGCTATCTCCCAATTCTTTTGTTTCTCCTATTAATCTTCCCCTCTTTCCTGGAAAATAACCTGATACTCCTTTGTACAGACAGTGTCTCCAATCATATTTAATTGCCACATGTTTTCTCTCTGCTGAGGATGCCAATAGAAAAAAAAACCAAGGTAGTTATCAAGACTGATCACTAGGAAACTCCTATAGCTGCTCTTATCCAAGCTTGATAGTTTTCCTTTCATTAATAAAGACAATCATCTTATTTTTTAGTCTGTGAGATCCAGTAATTTTTATTGGGGAAAAATATTGGCCTAGTCTATTTATAGCATTGTATTCAACTCCTTTTTCCATTTACTGCCATGCTTTTAGAACAGCTTTCAAATGGAGAACTAAGCAAAGCCTCATGTATTCTTAAAGTAAGATTAAATTATTCTTGTGGCTCCATAGGATGTCTTTCCCTCTCCTTTCTTAAAACATAAGTAGTACATATGTAGTAAAACATGAAGGATTTTTTAATATTAAATTTTAAAATAAGTACTACGTCAGACTGAAGTGGAAGAAAAATATCAAAAGCTTTTTGTCAAAGCTTTTTGCAGTTCATGCATTTGTTCTTTCAGAATTCCAGAGTACTGAGCTCTCTGGTTTGTTTTCACCTCATTTGGATTACGTACCTCTTCTTTAGGCCACTCCTGACTTTGCTGGTATATTCAGCATCATCTTTTCTTCAAGTGGAAATGCATCATTCTCTTCATGCATCTCTTCACTGCATCTAAATGGGATGGTGGCTGAAGTGCTTATTTTCCTGTTTGTTTTTTTTAAACTCCATTTTCTGTAAATTCTTTTCATCTTTTTTAAGGTTCTACCACTTCTGTGGGTTTTTTGTTTGTTTTTAAATATTCTTTTTCAGATTGTATTTTCCTGTTTGGAAGGAGAGATACAGGAGAGGGACCAACAGTTAGCTATCTATGAGCTCCAGCATTTTTGCCTATACTGATACTTATTTATTTGTTTGTGGTGTTTAGGGACAAATAGTCATATTTTTAAAGGAAAGCTCTGATTTAAAAAAACAATAACAAAATCTCATCATAATCCTATCCAAATGCTTGAATTCTTCAGGCTAGCTGACTTTACCAGCTAGTTCCCCTACCTTCTGCAGTTTGAAATTGAAAATCTTGGTTGTAGGAGCTCTTTTGCTTATCCTTTCATTTAATTTGTCAGTTGCTTATAATTCAATGCAGTTTATTATATTGAATGTCACTAATGCAGTAACCACATTATTAGTGATAATTGTGTTTTTGAAAGAGAGGGAGAGATCTAATCCAAATCCAAAGTAGGTTGCATCGTTTTTCTTTAGTGCTTGATTCACTAAGAAATCAGTTTACATACTAGACCATTCTTGCCGTTTTTTCCAATGATTGATTTGGACAATTTTGTTTGGGTTTGGGATTTTGGGGGGAGATTTGTTTGGGTTTGGTTTTTTTTAGTTTTTTGGAAGCTCACTTAATCACAGATTAGTGACCTGCGGACCAGAGAACAGTCGTGGGTACCACCCATGTACTCTCTTTCCTTTATCTGTGTCAGAGAGACAGACAAGAGAATGTAGCCTTACATGACAGATGGAAGGTGTCAGAATCTAAAGTTAAGACTTTTGATGCCAAAGTTAATTACAATGTCTTAAAGATAGAATTTGCAGCTTAATACTTTCTGTTACTTGGCAGAAATAACTGCAGTCAGTTTGTTCCTTCCTACTAATAGCTAAGATTAGCATGACCATTTGTGTGTGTGCTAGGATTGTGACTTCAAACACAGGAGTGTAAAGTCTTACAGAAAAAGTGTGAACTATAATTAGTTAGCAGTATGGGAAATAAAGAGCCTTTGCTTGGTGGAAATGATTGCAAGCTTTGTTTCATCCTTGTTTAAATAAAATGACAGTAATTATTTGAGTGTCTTTCTAAAGAGTAAAGTTGTGTCCTACTTGGAATGAAAGAAAAACAGAATTTGTGTACTTTTTTCATTATTACTGTTGAAATCTTTCTTTGCTATCTATCAGCCTGCAGGCATCCTGCCTTGTCAAATGAGGTAAGTACTGCAAGTCAAGCAATTAGTGTGCCTCTCTCCCATGTTGCAGGGGTATGCTGCAGAGATGGACAACCCCTTAATGGCTCATCTCATTTCACCAGAACTCCAAAATAAGAAAGACATCTTATTTGGAAATATGGAAGAAATTTATCACTTTCACAACAGGTGAGAATTTGCGTTCAGGTCTAAAAATAGCATTCAGATGGGTTTCTTATACTCTTAGTGTGATTTAAATTGCTAAAAGATGCTTACTGAGTCCCACCTGCCTCTCTGACATGTCAAAATTCATATTGCATGGAAGAAGAAGAGCAAAATATCTACAAAATATAAGCAAGGCTGTATGAAGCATTATTTAAAAGTTTGCAGTACACAGGTAAAATTTTGGACTGTGGTCCTCTTCCTGAATAAAGATATTTGGATCTAGTTACAAGCTAATTAAAACAAGGTTTGGTTTGGGGTTTATTTTATTTTTATGAAATTTGCTGTGTAAAGTAAATTACCTGAAACCACAAATTCTAAACCCTTATATCTGGTTGGGGCTGTTTAATTTTAAACTAAGGTGACCTCTCTCTGAAGTTTGAATCTTTGCAGCTAGAAAGGTATTTCTTCACACAATAATATTTACATGGGTAGAAAATAAGTGTTTTTAAACAAATTGAGCATATTAAATAGTTGTATCATATTCAGGCAAAACTAGACTGGAAGTTTTGCCACTGATTTTTTGGGTGGGTTTTTTAGTAGTTTGGTTTTTTTTTGCTTGGGGATGTAGGGTTTTGTTGATTTGGTAGTGGTTTTGGTACACTTTAAACTGTACAAATTCTGCTACTGAATACATAAAGCAGAGAAACAAAATGCTCCTTGTCTCCTGGATTTTATTTCAGTTGTAGTAACAGTAAGCTAAAAGAAATTGGTAAAAATGTTTTACTTTGTTGTCTCTTTTTAAGTATATGATCTTAGAAGAGTTTTGTAGTATGGAATTACAGCTCTATTTCCAAAAGTTAAAAAATTGATTACAAGAACGTGAACATTTGCTACAACTTATTTAATGTGTGGTCTAAGAAAATATTCTTCCTCATAGAATATTCTTGAGAGAACTAGAAAACTACATGGAATACCCAGAATTAGTAGGACGGTGCTTTCTGGATCAGGTATGTGTCATCTTATGCTGGCATTTTGTTCATAAGCCCCTCTAGGACTGCAACAGGCAAGAGGGTTTTTCACATAGCAGTTGCCACTACATCCCCTTTGTTTGTCTTGAACAGGTAACAGGTTGAGAATATAGGTGGTACTTGAGAGTTGGAGATATTTTTCTGCTGTGTGAGGTAATTAATTTTCTTAGAAGAAGCTACTACCTTTTTGAAAGATAACTGCTTTATTAAAGTGGCAGCTAGGAAAACATGAAGAGGAGTCATATACTGCATCATTTAATATCTGGGTTAACTCGCTTTGATTTCCCTACTGGATTCTGTTGTTTTATACATTTCTGTTTATTTAAAGCCTGCTATTCAAGGTAGTAAGTCCAAAATACTTTTATTGTGAAAATAGGAAGCTATGTCAGAATTAAACTTTTTAATCTGGGACATATAAAGCAGTGAGACTCAGCCATTGTATACAAAAGGTTAAGTAGGAATATGTTTATAGAAATCAATCTCTTGTGTTTGTTACCTATTGAAATTGTTCTAAAACTCCTGGGAGGAGCCATCTCTCCCCCTCCTACTGACTGGCTATATCCATGGAAATGCTGTTTCCTAGAAGTGAGGGACTTCTGTGCCTGCTAGTTCCCTACCTAATCTGTCCTTTATAGCTACCATCACATTTGCAACAGTCTTATTTCCTTTTGCTTTCAACAAGTACTGAAGTCACACTTGTTAGTTGCTGAAGGGGTAAGAGGCAACCAGCTCCTTGGTGTCTACCTCACTGCAACTCCCAGTGAAAAACACAATCATAAAATGAAAAGGTATCAAGAAAAAAGAGCAAAGACTTTTAAATAAGTTGCACAGAGGGACTCATGGTTGGGCATTGATAAGAAGTGTTTATCATATTGTAATAGAAGTATATTTGTAAACAAACATATCCTTCTTTGTAAGGTGCTTAACATTCAACTGAAATAAAAATTAACAGGAACATCTTATTCTGATGCTCCAAGTACAAAATCAGTAGAGATTTACAAAATCAGTGATTTTGAATAATTGGGTTTTTTGCTTGGGATGCCACAAGCAATTGCAATCTTTTGTTGCTGGGGTTTTTTTTGTCTTATTGGTTATGAAAAAATCTTAAGAACTTTGTGTCTTAAAGTCACAAGAACGTATTCATTTTTTTGCTTCTCTCCCCAATTTCAGATGGAAGATTTCCAGATTTATGAAAGATACTGTCAAAATAAACCTCGATCTGAAAGTTTGTGGAGGCAATTTTCAGATTCTGCATTCTTTCAGGTATGCTTGCTTGAGTCTCTCTAAGATTTGGAAGGGGGTTGGGTTGCTGTTTGTTTTGGCTGTTTTTTTTAAACCTCATCATTTATGTCAAGAACAACTAACAGAAATATTGATTAGAGTACTGATGGTATCTAACACTGATTACAGGAATGTCAAAGAAAACTTGATCACAAGCTCAGTTTGGACTCATACTTACTGAAACCTGTTCAAAGAATAACCAAATACCAATTATTGCTAAAGGTATGTGGTACTAAACTAGAATGTAAGTATATTTTGTGCGTTTTTTGTTTGTTTGTTTTTTAAACGCTGCTTCTCATCCTGCTGGAGAGAAACCTAAAAGTTAGTAGACAGATGTATAAATGGGAGCAGGGAAAAATCACAGTCTATCAACTTTCAGCTCAGTTCCTTTCTCTTTCAACCCAAAAGCCGCTATTAGGCAAATGTAACCACACAGACACCTTGTGTAATTTCTTTTGCTCTTTTATTTCTGCTGAAAAGAAGAATGAAAAGTTGATACGGGGAAACAGATGTACTGAGAAAACTTTGCAACAAAGAAAAGAGAGTATCTGAAGTGCTTACTTGTTACTCTGCAGTTATAGTCACCTCATGCCCTGCTGGGTTCTAGGAAATGTACTTAACTGAGAGCACTGTATGGTATTTTTAGGAGGGATACCATTGTGGTTTACCTTAAGCTTGCTATACTGAGAGATCAAAATGAGAATAATATCCTATTATAAATTTTAAATTGAATGTCTGAGTTTTTGCCATGTTTGAAGCTGGTTTGTTTAAAGAAACATTTCCTGTATAGACACACACGTCAATAACTTTATTTAACAGTAGTTTTAAAAATTTACATTGGACCAGATTTACTGTTGAGTTAAAACTGTGTTAAAGTTAACTGCTTTTAAAGAATTAATTACATTAAGCTTATGTGAAGAGAGGAATATTTGAAAGTTTTTTTATTTCAAGTATTTTTAGTTCGTGAGTAAATACTTGTTCTCATATTGTGAAGTCCGGAGAACCCTATGTGAACTTGCTGCTATGCTTGTCTGCATTATACTGGAAAATGCAGCTTTATCAATAAGCCTCTTAGAGAAGAGATGCCTTTTTAAATGTGTAGAAAATGCTCAATACAGTAGGTTTAAATCTGTTACTACTGAGGATTTCCAGGCCTCACTGTATTTCAAATAATAAATGAAACTTGCCTATGGTTTTACATTTGTTCACTTCTACAAAGTAACGGATATAAAAAGTAATAAATTTGAGTGTTTGCAGTTTTTTAGCAATTATGATGAGAAATGTTGATAAAGGTAGTCTTGTAAAACTCTTTAAGTAGTTCTTATAAAACATTTAGATGAACAAATATATTTGACTAATTAGCAGCAGAGATGAGAAGTAAAACTTTAAGCTCTTCTGAGTTCTAGACAATATTTTACCCCCTAGATTATAATTTTATAAAACTTTATTGAATAACTTTAAAAACTTTAAGTGCCTACTTTAAGAACTTGAATTCAGTGTTAAAATTTGAATGTTTCTAGTTATTGCTGTTTCCAGAACTAAGTATGTTGCCATTCCCTGCCCCCTCAGGAAATGCTCAAGTACAGTAAAAACTGTGAAGGTGCTGAAGATCTTCAGGAGGCATTAACTTCTATACTGGGTATTCTCAAAGCAGTTAATGATTCCATGCACCAGATAGCCATTACAGGCTATGATGTGAGTAGCACTATTTCTACTTATTTCTTAATTGATTTTCAAATATGTCTTAGATATAATTACAGCATAGCACCTACTGTGTATTAATGAGAAGAATGTTTTACAAAATTACCTTTAGATTTAAGTGTGCAATGAAAATAATGGTAAATGGATCTCTCTGCACTCTTCAGAAGTTTTCCTGCTATTAATATTTTGCTCTGTCTACCAAGTGTTTTTCCTCTGATCTACTTGATTAGAAACGGAAAATCATCATGAAGGGTCTGGTTTAGGCTACTACCAAAGGGAGTCACTACTAAGCTTTTATATTCATGTGTAAAACTACACCTGAAATTTCCAGTTAAAAAAACCAAAACAAAAATGTAAGGAGCTTTGCAGCTGAGTTTTGAAAACAAAACAAAAACAACAAAACAATTTCATGTATTGCTCCTCCTCCTCTCTCTATGTGCAGATCTTTGCATCCTTGCTACTGGTACTCTTGACTGTAAAATCCTCCCTGAACAATGTTGGGGAGAAAGAAAACTAGGTGTAAGAATCCACCACTGACTTGATTTTTATTACATTTCTAAACCCAACGTGAACTGTGATTTGAGAGATCCTGTGGAACAACAGAACTTGTAAAGACCTGTTCAGAGCTTGTGTTTTACTCTGATGTTATCTCTTTGTAATTATAAATATTTCTTTTTTGTTGTTGTTGAAGGGAAACCTGAACGAGCTGGGCAAGCTTTTAATGCAGGGATCCTTCAATGTCTGGATTGATCATAAAAAGGGTCACTCGAAGGTGAAGGATCTGGCACGTTTCAAGCCGATGCAGCGACACCTCTTCCTCCATGAGAAAGCTGTGCTGTTCTGTAAAAAGCGAGAGGAAAACGGAGAGGGATATGAGAAAGCACCTTCTTACAGCTACAAACACTCCTTAAATGTAAGATACCAAGAAGTCCAGTAAAGTTGAGGTACTGAGGACTTAGCCTGTAGTAATACAACATTCTAGTTTTTTTGTCAGTAACGTTGTTTTGATAGTTTTTGCACTGGGAACTTCACCCTTTTAGGGCAAGCCTAACTGGTGCTGCAGCTCTGTGTTACTGTGTGTTTTTGTCTGTTAGAGAGTTGGGGTAGGGGGAAATTATCCTTTGATAAAATGCAGACCATGCTATTCTAGCTGAATGGCATTAACCACACAGAAAATGTAATAGTGCGTAGAGCAGGGTGATATAAAATAGATAAAAGGTGTGGTGGTCTGGATTTTATAAGATGCTTTGTATGTCAGTCTCAATTTATTGTACCTAAACCTTTCCTCCCTCTGAGATTGCCAGGCTGACACAAACCACTAAATGTCCTGCATCCACTACAAAGATCATGTGTTATTAGCTATTATTTTCCTTGAGTAAGAAGTCAAATGTGGCTTTGCTTTTCAGAATTATGGTAGCAAAGGACATCAGTAGCCATCTGCTTCTGTTGTTATCATAATGGCAATTGGATAGGTCAACTTCTGTTCTCTTTGCTTCCAGATGGCAGCAGTTGGAATAACAGAAAATGTCAAAGGTGATGCAAAAAAATTTGAAATCTGGTATAATGCAAGGGAAGAAGTTTACATCATACAGGTAAATAACATGCCACTGCCTAAAAAAAAGAAAGGAGGAGGAAAGAGAGAAGGGGAAAAAGGAGTCAAACTATAAGAAGATATGAGTCTTTTTTCCTTTATTATATTACTAGTAGACAATGATGTGGAAATGTATAAACAACAAAAAACCCCACACCAACACCCAAAAAAACCCCAACAGTGAACAGGTTAAGTCATAAGGCAGTTTCTTACATTATGTATTTCAGTTGCAGAGTCTTCTGGGTGGAGACAGAAAATTAAAATAATGTTTTACCAAATCCATGGGGGATGTTGCATACGCTATTGCTTTTCCTGTCACTGGAGCAGTGGTTTGCTAGGAGCTGGGGTTTGATTGTAGCACATGCACAGCCTCTTCTGCCTTGGCCTGTTCCAGTTCTCAGAGCTAGTTTCTGGTCACTGAAGGACTGGAGAGGGGACTCTGTCTGTCCCCCAGGAAGGATTCCTCTAAGGCTGTGCTTTGGCTTGCAGCTCTTTGTGTACTAAGTACTCTGTGCTTGATGATTAATTATATTTATTTTTGGGTAGGCACCAACCCCTGAAGTTAAAGCTACTTGGGTAAATGAAATAAGAAAAGTACTGACAAGTCAACTGCAGGCATGCAGAGGTAAAATATTTTGCATATATATATATATACACGTGTGTGTCTTTTAAATCTGTCTTCTCTTTGAAGTTTAAAACCTGCCTTATATATGTCTTCACTGCATAGGACTGTAAAAATGAAAAGCTCAAATCACACATCAATTTAGTAATGATTTTTCTTTATTCCATCACAGAAGCTAGTCAGCACAGAACACTAGAACATACACAAAGTTTACCTCTACCAGCATCATCTTGTACAAGGTTAGTATGTCTGTTATAAAACCTGTCTGGCTGTCTTGGAAATACACTAAATGCATCCACTTTGCAGTTATTCATTACTCCTATTCTTTAATACTGGCCCTTACGTTTTAGGGGGTTTTTAGGTCTCTTCCCACTCCAAAGCCCTAAAGGTTGGTGTTTATATATCTCCTAAACTGTTAAGTTGAGCAGCAGCGTCACAAGCTTTCCCAGTTGACAGAGAACAGCACAGAAAAGTGATTTTCTGCACCAGCCAAAATCCTGGCAATATTACGGTTCCATTTGTTGAACAGCTAATTACATGTTTTACACACAAATAAGTGAGTCATGTGGAACAGCATGTTCCTTCCTTCTATGTTCTTTTCCATCACCTGCATTACATTTTCTTTCTTTCTTTTTCAGTTTCACATTACCTTTTAGTCCTTGTCAGGACATTATCTTTTCTTTGTATCTCCTTGTTTTCCCCCTCTTTTTTTTTTTTTTTTTTTTTTTTTTTTTTTACTAAGTTATGTATTGATTCCTCCACTGTCTCAAGCTCTGAGTGAAGCTTTTCTTTTTCTTTTTCTTTTTTTATTCTTCCCCCTACCAGCCTGTATTTTATTCTGCTGCCCTTCTCTGACACCTCTTTTCAATCCTCCTCTACTAATTTTTTTTCATTGTATGTGTATGTACCCATAAGCCCATGTACTTACATCTTCAGTCATTCCCACATGGTGTGTGCTCAAATATGTGTCAGTAGCTCTCTGCCTGGCACGTTTTATGCATTTACTTTTCACTTGGGGAAAATTTCCCAGTTGTATTGTTTTTGTGGGATGTCTTTCTCCATTCCATTCCCAATCACTCTCGGCACAGAAGGTTTGACTGTAGCTGAGAGGCTGTGAGTGAGTGGAAGTTGTCCTGAGCTGTCTTTTCTCAATGCCATAGTACATGTGGCTGTAGTCTTATTAGAGGAGCCTTCCCCCTTTGTATGTGCTCATGGTCTTTAAATGTTCAATTGCCAATGACTCTTTCAGTGCTGGAAGCTACGATCTGGGAATTAAATAATCAGTGGTTTTCAGCCTATAAAGCTGTATTTAAAAGGCAGCCTGGCACTGAAAGTCATCACCCCTGTTCAGACCCAAATTTGCTGGAGATGGATTGATTGTCTTAATTTTCTTCCAATAAACAGTCCTTCACGGAACCACATCAGAAACACCAAAAAAATGGAAGAGAAAAAAGCTGATCTCCCAAGTCTAGAAGGTTATGGCACCACAGTAGCACCAAAGTTCCCAGAGAAAGGCAAAGGTGAGTTTACACATATGTGTTGTTACCTGTAGTTGCAAGAGCATGGCCGCACTGCAGATGCACAGGCAGATCCACCAGCAGAGCAGCCATGGTAGTGCAGGCAAACACAACATTCCAGCTGAACAAGCAGGGCTGAGCTGCTTTGAGCCCGAGGTAGCCCACCCACAGAATGCTGCTCCTGCTGCACCAGCATGGTGCTCCCATCTACCCTTAGCTCTGAGGTCTCTGCGTTGCACTGTGTGCTGTGGACAGGCCCAAAGCCACTTTGATGAAGGGTCACCAAAAGGAGGTGGGAAGTGTGGGTTATGAGGCCCAAGTCTGCAGTAGGTCTTCTCTTAGAGCTGCCCAGCTTCTCAGGTTTTTCTTCCTCTGAATAAATTTATCTATTTGAAGAGTAGTATTTTTCTCTCAAATTTTGGTTCCCATCATGGGGATTATTCACTAGACCAGTGGCAATACAAGCCCCTGCACAGTGGGAATAACTGCCCGCTTGGATTCTTCTGTTCCACTCAGAATTTCAGTTGTCCTTTCTCATTCTAATGTGTCATTTCCCTGTCAGGGCTGTGAATAAATTTTTTGCCTTGACCTCTTCATGGCCTTCTCCCCTTTCTCTCTCTCCCTCTCTCTCTCTTTTCCTTTGTAGATGACACTAGCTCTACCTCAGAATGCTCTGTACTGTCAAAAAAGCGCTTTACACTGCAGGGTTTTACTAACCTCAAAAGTCAGAAAGGTAATTTTTTAAAAGAGCTAGATTGTTTTCTGTTGAAGGCTGTAATTGAAGCATATCTCTGTGCGTGTGTGTGTATGTAATCTAACAGGTTTTCAGTGTATGGAGTAGCTTGGTCTCCTAAGTGTAAGCCAGGTTTCTGAGTCACTGACCCTGACAGGGAGATTTCAGGAAAAACTAGCTCCAGAGTGGGAGAGGGAGATACAGCTGGGAGAAGTGGAGCTGCTGGAGGTGCAAGGGAAGGAGTGCCATTTCCAACACCTCCAGTCTTAACTATCAAAGCCAAGGAAGGAGTTTATAGTGCTCCATTCCTGTAGGAATCATACAGTAAGTTAGTTTTCTTCAGATCAGACACCTGGCCTGCTTCTAGCTTCAGTGGATCTGCCCCAAATGCACCTGTACTTGGCAGAAAGGAGTCATGGTTTTTAGGGTATTTCTATATTAGCATCCTTACTAACAGAACTCCTAAAGCATGACTACAGCAAAATGTGTATGACAATGTTATTTTGCTGGATACACACATAGATCAAAGTTTCCTTATGCTTCCAGAAATGGTCTTTACTTTTTTTTTTTTTTTTCTAAAACAGACAACAGGAGTCTGAGACCTTTCTTGCTTCCTCCTGCCAAGTAACCACACTGCTGGTACATTCACTTTGTGCTTTGAGCTGCTGTTTTTCAGCAGTCTGAAGTGCATTAAGATGATTGCACTTGTTTAAGAGCATGATTTATTTTTTCCAAGCAGCTTTTAAGAATGCATTTAAAAAACCTCATTACCTTTGAGTTCTTTCTGGAGAGACTCTGGGGTTGTGTATCTAATGCTAATGAGGTGAGCACTAATATCCCATGCTTGCCTTGACAGAAACTCCATCTTCTTCTGCTAAAAGCCAGACATTGCCAATGATCCTTCTTACAGGACCAGGTATTGCTGTAGCACTAGATAAATGTAGAATTAATTGTATAAATTTGGTAATGTTTGTCTAAAATTGAAATTAGTTGTATTCAGTTGATGTCTAGTTCACTTAGAAAAGTTTACATATACTTCCATCTATTACTGTAAAACATATTTGTCAAATTATCTTCAAATAACTAAATATAAATAATGAATTCCTTTCGCTGTAATTGACCAGTGATGGCTCAAATTGGAGTGATTACAGAAATCTATTTGTTTTCCAGTGTAAACTCAAAGGTATTTAGCATGCAACCCACCTATTCTCTTTTTTCCAGTTCTTCAATATCTCTCTTCTGTGTTTTTTGCCTATTCATCCTCCTGCAGCTTCTCCTACCAGTCCTGACAAAAAAGCTAAACGGCATGAAGTAGTGAGTGACCCAACTCCTTTTGGTTTAAGAGGTAGAGTGATACGACATCTTGTGCTCCACAACTATCCACACATCCCTCCTGTATGACGTTACATTCAGAGCACTGGGGATACCTGTATGATGCTGTTGTGTGCAGTGATTTTGTTATCAGCTGAGCTTTTCCAAGTGGGTCTGTCAGTTTCTGCATATACTGTTTTTCATAGCACAACTGCTTGAAGTTTTACCTTGGCATTGAGTAAAGTCGCATATGGCAAGCTAGTTTTTGGGAGAGGGCAGTGGGAAAGGGATGTTCTGCTGAAGAAATAACCAGAAGCTGGATGTTTAATGGAACTACAGTGCTTTGGGACACATGGTTTTCCAGTTAGCATCATCCTATCACTGTGCCTCTTGTGAGAGGATTTAACTTTTAAAAAAGGAAAAAACAAATCAATCCATAATGCATGTAATCTAGGCAGAGTGGGGATCATCCCTATCATGTGAAATTTCCATTTTATATCTGCATTTATTATTGTAGACACAGACCTGTAACGTGTTTCTTTGGGTGATAGTAGGCTATTTTAACCACTCTATGAACCCCAGATGATTTAACTGAACGTCTTGTAGCAGTTTGCCCTCCTATCATCCCAACCCACAGCTAAGCAAAGAATAAAAAAGCATTTTGGTTGAATGTCCAATTTCTAACCAGCAAGGTTGTTGGTGAAGGCTTGAGTACAAGCCCCTGGGGCTAGTCAAGAGTACAAGCAGAACAGTCCCTCTCTTCATAACTCTTTGCCCACCTCCATCTCCTATAGAAAATATTATTCTAAAGATGAAGGTGTTTCAAGCCCTACCATCATACTCATTTCCAAGTTTTCACAGCCTTTGTCTTTGTTTCACCTGTGGAAACAATGCAGGTTCAGTTCCTGTGCTAGCAAAAATTGATGCAACACTGTTCACCTTGTTTGAGCAGCAGGCAACATAATCCCAGGTCAGACACGTGCAGAAACTCTACAAGGTTAGTTTTTCTGCAGGTAGAAGTTAAATTTCTGAGATCTCCAGGTACCATGGAATTCCAGAAGGCCTGAAAATGCTGTCAGAAAGCAAAGGGTGTTTTGTGGCTTTTTCCATGGATTCTGGAATTTTCCAGGGTGGAGAGTCCTTGATCATTGCTAATTTACCCTGAAATTGTTGAGTCCTTAGAACAGATTTGTCTGATTCATTGTCCCGCCTGGCAGCCTCTTGCTTTATGAAAATACTGAACCAAGTAAATGAATTGAAAACATATAATAGAATCATTACAGAATGGTTTGGGTTGGAAGGGACCTTAAAAGATTGTCTAGATTGAACACCCCTGCATTGGCAGGGGCACCTCCAACTAGATCAGGTTTCTCAGAGCCCCATCCAACCTGCCCTTGAACTTACATTCTTGCATGTTTCTAAATACTAACTTCCCTGTCTTGCACCTTCCAATCTCTTTTTTTGACACTTCCGACTCTTCTTTCCCAACTCAAAGAGGGATAAGCAGGCAGTTGAGCTTTCACTTCAGGATGGAACTGCACCAGGGAATGGTCACAGCTCCCCAGAGAGGAGCACATTGCCCCTGCTCATTTCACTGCTATGTCACTCTGACTTGCATCCCAATGAGCTCAAGGAAAATGAATTGGTGAGAGAATCACATCTTGCAAGTAGATCTTACCTCTGTGAAGAAACCTGTGGGCCCATTTCTGTGGAGAAGTGGTTAAAGAGTTCTTAGTTTTCCTGGCACCATCGAATCTAAGCTCATGTCTGCATGACCTTGCCTTTTCTCAAGACTGTCTGACATTTGCTGACATTTTCCACCCTTACAGGGACCTCCAGTTTAGTCACAAAGTGCAGGATGCTCACATGCACATTGAATGTGAGTGCATAATGTTGATGCCTGTAGTTAGCTAATATGAGTATGACCACAGTCACCATTTCTTCTCCCTGGTCAGGATCAGATGAGCTTTTGTATGGACTTGTTAATGGTAGAGTGCCAGCCTGTAAGAGGAATACTGCTGCTGTGGCAGGATCAGGCAGGTCTGCTCTTACCCACATCCTCACAAGATATGAAAAGAAAGAGGCTGAAGAACAAGAATTGTTACCCAGAATGTTCCAGATGAGCAGGCCACTGAGTATGACAATTTAACTTTTTCTTTTGTGTAACTCATTGGTTCTGTTCCTAATTAGAGCTTGGAACAATCAGAAGAAACCAAGTGGGGTTTTGTTGCATTGTTCTTAACTTGGAATTAATGGAAAAGGTTTCAGCTGCATCCCACGAGCCAGCTATAAGATGGGAGCTTCCAAGTAAATTTGCATGGATACAGCAGGAATTTATTTTTCAGTTTCTTCACAGATGGAAGTTCATTGTTAACCTTGGACAGGGCCAAATGGCTCAGTACTTCTAACCTTGTGCAGGTCACCCAGCAGCGCAGGCGAGGTAAAAGTTCCACTCTTTGGTGTGTTCTGGTATGATTTCTTTCTATGATTCTTAGGTTGCTTTGGCTTTACTCTGATGACAGTCAGGTTTTGTTCCTAGCCATGCGACAAATGCCTTAGAAGCAGTGAAGAGCAAAAAATGCTGGTGCTTTCTCAGCTTAACTAATAGGTACATAAAAGTTGGAAGGTTTGTTTTTCCTTCCATTCTTTCAATTGAGTTTCGTTCTTGTTACCATTTGGCTTGAACCAAGATCTACTTATAAAATATTTGTCTCTTTTATGATGGCTTCTTTTCGTTACAAGCTTGACACTTTTATTAGCAGCTGCTGACCTCAGTAAAAAGCATACCACTAGTAAACTGTACTGTAGTTTTATTTGGAAAAAGATCTAGTGCATTCTGGCTATGATTCAGCTTTGTAAATAAATGAAATGCTTCAGGAGAGAGAAAAAGGAATACTTTGCACTAAATGACAGGCAGAAGATTGTTCTTGTGGCATTTGGTGCAGGGACTTAACACCAAGATAAATCAGCATGATTAAGGATCCTTGTGTCAGCCTAAATACCCATAAATAATAAGCTGCCTCATCAGGTGAAGCACAAAGTGCCTGTATCTTGTGTTGAATTTCTTGATACCTCTAAGAGCTCAAGATTTTGAAAGAGGCAATGTGCATCAGTTCCTTGTTCCAGCAGATGGTTGAGGTTGCTTTGGGTGACAACCCTGTGTGTTCATCTTCTTTCCCACAAAGTGTACATTCCTGTCTTCTGCCTCCTCCCCAGAAAGAGAGTATCTGTCCATTGTTCATAGTTTGCTTCTTAGTTGGGAGTTTGCATTCTTTCTATCTGTTTCCCTCAATATAAACCCAAAGGGCCAAATTCACTTCTGTGCATGGTCACAACTCCACTTACTCTGATGGAAACAGGCCAACTTTTGCCAGCTGTGAATTTCACCCAGTGGATGTGACAACTTCCTTGTGTACAGTTTTCCTCCAGTTTGTGTTGATCACTTAAGAGTTTTTCAGTAGGAAGAACATTTTTCCCAGGCAGTGGCTCGCTGCTGCAAAGTTAACCATCAGCTGTTTGTTCCTCAAGGTTGGGCTAAAACCTCTCATTCTCTTGATGCGTCTGAAGAAAATGACGGCTGGTCTAGTGCTGAAGATCCGCTGAATTCATCGGATGCGGAGGAAGAAGGAGGAGGAGGGGGAGGCGAGATGAAGCTGGTAACCAGAAATGTTTTCCTACTAAGCTAAGGAAATGTTAGTGAATACACTGTGTGTGGCAGTGCATAGGAATGATGTTGAAGCTTGCAGGAAGCAGTGTCTGCCTTAAAATCCTCAGCTGGGCAAAACTCCTAGGGGAATGGAAAATAACCCCTTATTTTAAATCAGCCCTGTGTTTGTACCTTGGGAAGGTCCATTTGTGCCTTTGTGTACCCACAGACTAGTGAGACCATGACTGCTTATGCCATAGTACAGCAGGAAAGTAAGGACATCCTCAACTGCCATGCCAACAGACTTGCAGACACACATTGTGTCCCTAGGTTGCCAGTTTGGTTAGGGGCCTGGGGGTTTTTGTGGTTGGCTTTGTTGTTTAGGGTTTTTTTAGTAGAGATTTGAATTAATACTCAAATGGAAACAATTCACTGAGTTTTTCAGGATGTGAGAATTCATGTATGGAATTTGCCTGTAACTGAACAGCAAAGTTTTCCTGCTTCTCAGTATCTATATTTACACTGTCTTCAGCATGTATGTGCACCAGAAAGAAAAGTACTGTAGTTTCTGTAACAAAATCTGCAATGTGTCTTTAAGTACTCAATAGAAATAATTTGTTTTTCATCTGTGTGCATTTAGACTCCTGGTAAATATACAGTTGTGACTGATTATGAAAAAGGAGTTTCTGAAGAATTTACAGTGAAAAGTGGAGATCTGGTTCAACTGATTCGTGAAGGGGAGGATGGACTTTGGTATGAAGATCTGTGTTTGCAAATATTTATATGCAGAACTATTTGGAAGGCAGATGTTTAGGGCAAAACTTTCAAAGGCATTAATTCAAGCAATTTGCCTTTTTTTTTTTTCCCCTTAATTTTTTAGGTATGTAAAGAACCTGAGCACTGGCAGAGAAGGTTGGATCCCAGCAAACAATCTGCTGATGCTCATCGGCAATTCAAAATCAGCTCAATCTTTAAGTAGCTCTGGTAAGCTATTTATTATAAACAAGATTATTGTCCCTCTGAAGATTCCTATAATGAAAGAAAGTTGTGAAAAAAAACATCTGTGTTATATTTTCTTCTCTTTATTTATTTTTTTTTTTCCCTTTCCCAGAATCAGGCACTGCCTCCAGCACTTTGAGCACATCATCAAGTTGCAGTGATAGCTGCAATGTCAGCAGCACCAGCTTCTCGGACATTAAGGGCTAATGTGAAATTTTCACCTCACCTCCATGGAAGGTAAATTCAGAGTTTGTGACTTTGTGCAGCGTTCTGGACGTTGGACTTCAGTGGAGAGCCACCAGTTCCCTGTTGCCAGCTCTGAGTATTTCCACTGATGATTTTTACAGGTTCTCCCAGAAGATCCCAATGAAAAGTGCATGGAATGTGAAGTTGTAAATGAAGTTAAACAATTTGAAATAAGGTCTTGTAGAGGCTTCTGCTCCAAAGTCTGAAGCTGCAGAGCTGTTAGCATAAAACACATTTTCTTACTGATACACAATCAGGTTTCTGCAGAACTGTGTAATTTCGTAACAGCCAGAATCTGAGTGTAAGCAAACAAAATGTGTTCAGTGCTAAATCCTCATTGTAAACCAGTAACACAGCAATCACTGTACAGGATAGGTATGTGGAAAAAAAATCTGAGTTTACAATTTCTCTTCCCACAAAAACCCTTTCTCCAAGGACATACCTCGGTCAGTGCAGTGAGTGGGACTCTTACAGTGACCAGGAAGGTTTGGTTTAGCCTGGAGTCTCCAGGACATTCTCCTGCTCCCTGGAGACTAGGATGCAGACATGACCAATTCACTGACCCTAGCTGCATCAGAAGAAAATACTTTTTTATCCTTCCTGACCTTTTAATAATGTGTGCAATGAAACAGCTGTTTTCTGAGGCATTTTGGCCTCACAAGCAAATTGTTTACCACGATCACTGTGTTTACATAGCCTTGGCAATTTAACAGTATCTTTATGTAGAAGCAGAATGAAACACAAATATTCTTATTCACTAAATGATTTGTTAATTAAGTGGTAATTGCACAGTGACCTTCAGCTCTCACAATCAACATGCAGTTACAGGGAGAGATAACTTTTGTGGCTGCACTATGGGTCAACAGCCTTCCTTCAAACAAACCTATGAGGGCTGGCAACCCAAGGTAATTTTAGTCAGTAGTGTTTGTTGCAGATTTATTAAAAGAAAAAAACACAATTTTTCTATAAAAGGGGAGCATGGGAAGAAAAACCAAGAAAACAAACAAAAGGCAACAACAAAAAGCCTTGATTAGAAAAGAGTCAGACCTAGGCTACAGACTAGTATTTTAACTTTTTTTAAAGGAAGTGTAGTGCTAAACTTGCCGTTTTTCAAGGTGTGATGTAAGCCACTGTTGTAAATTTTCACCTTCCCTTAAGTTCTTTACACATCATCCTTACAAACAGTCCCAAACTGTGTGCATGAATGGAATACTGTATTCGTTCCTGTCCATCTCCCAAATATTTTAACTTCCATAAAACCAGGTTTTTAACTGATTCATGTACCATATTACTTAAAATTAGCATGGGCATTAAGACCATAATTTTTCAAAAGCACTAAGCACAGCAGATTATGTCAGCAAGAACTGCTGTTAACCATCAGACCCTCTGACAGCTGAGCCCTGAAGTCCATTTTTGTGCCAGAATTTTTTATTTTAGAACCTGCAGTTTAGGAAACTTAAACAACAGATACTCTAAAGAGTTGCAAGAGAAACCTTACCCAGACGCAATCAAAATGCAGCTGACCACGGTCAGTACAAACTGAAACATATACACACACACATATATTTATGCACATATATATGTGCATCTATGTGCTTGTGTGTATATGTAGGTGTGTCTAGATATGTATATGTGTGTAGATATAATGTATCAATGTAAAAGAAAGATGTATTTATAGTCCTCATGCTGCTGAATGTGTCACTTTACAATTCATACTTAGATTTCTTGCAATACTGCAATATAAAGGCTGATCAGGGTTTTATTCAGGCATCTGTTCCAACGCAGAAATCCTCTGATCTTTGTTTAATTATCCCATATCATACTGTGCTGACCGGGAATACTTAGTCTGATATTTAACAATGGAATGGCAACATGAGACTCAGCTTATCTTCATCTATGTAAGTTATTTTGTAAATTATCTGTAACATAATTTTCTTATATATTGCTGTCATTGCTAGGATGAGACTGTCCTTTCTTTTCTCCTCACGGCTTCATTTATGTTATTTCAATGGTTTTCTCCACATCGTTGCACTTTAATACAACCCATTTCACCATTTCCTTTTTTACTGCTGTTGTGAATTAGAAGCTCAAAGTCTGAGGCCTCTATTGTAATTATGAAAATTTGAATAAATTTCAGCACTTCTTGCTGAATGCCTTTATATAGACATGCTCTGTGTTTTACTTTGTATCACAGTCCTAAAAGCTTCTTACTGGTATTGTATAAAAACAGGCAGGCTGAAGGATTTTTGACAGAAAACCAGCTATGTCTAGCTGTTGCAAGCCTAGAAAATGAGGTTCTTGTCAGGGTTTATGTGTTCAAATCCTTTGTCTACTCATTCTGGACCATCTCAGGAAAATACTGTTTTACCTTTGTGATCCTATCTCACTTACCTGGCCCTGAGCAATTAAAGCATGTCTGCAGTTAAAAAGTGAAAGCCAGTGCCAGCTAATCAGATTGATTCCCTTTCTCCCACACACCTTTTTTGAAAGATGACACATCTCTGTTGGGTTCTCCCTAAGAAAGCTGTGTATCACATGGTTCCCCTACTGCTGTACACACGCTCCTCTTGATCCTGTTCCTGGTGGAGGTCTGTGTCTGGCAACACTTGCAGCTGGGTGCGAAACAAGAAACCACATTCACTCTTCCTGAAGAGGAACACCTCTGAGCATTCACTGATTAATGTCTTTAAGGACCATCATGCCATGGCAGGAGGTGAATTTCACACTGACTGGAGTGATCTGGGCTGAGCTGGTGGCCATGTGCATTGACACAATCCAGCTGAGCTGTTACTGGGATTTGATTGCTTTTCTTTACTCTTGTTAACAGCTACCTCTGTAGTAGGTAGTTCTAATTCTCTGAGCAAAAGGAGGTCCAGCCTTTCTGAGCAGAGCCACATCATACTTTTTAGAGCAAAAGAATGAAAGAATTCCAGCCCAGATTCACCTTAGTAAAGAATTTTCTACATAAAAACCTAATAATTATTTCTCCCTTTATAATTGTAATTATGTTAATTTGCTATTGCAAACACTATGGACTCATCTTGGGTTTCTTATACCCTAGATAGCTCCCTCAAAGTTGGAGCACAGTCTTTCCTTTATATAGAAGCAGTTTGCTAGTTGGAGTATAAAACCCTTTCTCCATTCTGCATAGATGTTGTCATTGAGCAGGACTGAGGACTTTGGAACATAACTCATTTACATCACTTACCTCAAAGTGACAGACACTCCCATTCCTCTTCAATATCATACATCAGATGGTTGTTACAATCTACCCTGTGAAGTTTGGAGTATCCACACAAGCCCCCAGAATCAACAGTCTCCCTAGATTTGTGTGGGTGAGTGCCATACCTGCCTGGTGTGAAGGAGCTGCCCAAATACCCTTAACTTAGGAAGCAGGAATAGAAAAGCCAGATTCTTTTGTCCCTTAAGATTTGGTGTAAACTGTGTCTTAGATACCATATTATCACAATAAAATGTTTAGCTGTTGCAGTAGCTTCTCTAGGCTTTAATTTGAAAGGACATGGATAGGTAGCATATAAGTTCTGATGGCCACGTTAGGAATAACTTGTTTATTACTTTATTATAACTTGTTTATAACTGTATTTTAACAGCTGTTAAGAAAGAGAAAGAGGAGATCCCTTCAGAGACCTGTAAGCAGGCGGAAAGAAATGAATGGTTATGTAAAGACCTTCAGAGGGTGAGATAGTTTTCTGACCTGCAATAGGAAAGCACTTGATAAATAGCTTCTCCTGCCCTCACAAGCACCCAGGGTGAGGCAGGAGGGCAACCCAAGGCCTTTGGCAAAGGTATTAGATGTGCTCCACCTACTTTGTTTCAGACAACTTCCAGAAGCCCTCTCTAAATGCTACTCAATATACTTACAATTTTTCCCCTTCTTCCCTGGGCCACCGCTATTGCAACCTGCTTCTGTAGCTCTCTGCAACTGCCTTTTGTGTTGATATCCTGCAGATGCTGGCTCCTCAGGAAATCCAGCCTTTTACTCCAGACCCCCTGCTATTCTACCAGGAGGTACCTGCTGCCCTACGTCTCAGCCTGCTCTCTTGAGCACCAGGGCTGCCTTGTCTCCCTCTTGCCCCAGCTGGCAGTGCTGCCCCTGCTGGCAGTGCTGTCCCTGCCCATCAGCCACAGCTGCCTGAGCCCCCAGTTACCTGGCTCTTGCTCAGACTTTTTTGTTTCCTTCTCTTTCTCCCTGCTTTCTCTGTGGATCATCCCCTGCACAAGCAGAAACTCAGCTGCCACCTCTCTGTGAATAATCCAGCTGAGTAAATGTGGTTTTAAGGAAAAGTATGTAACTGCACTCAGGGGATGACCTTGTTTTCCAAACTGGCTGTCAGTTCACTTAATGCCTCTTTCCTTTTCATTTAACTGGAGCTGGTGTTGCCCAGCATTGCTGAAAGGTGTAAGTGTATAAGTGACATTTGGCACCCAGCCCACCACAAGTGGGCCCCACCACAGGCTCCTTTGCACCCTGGCCAGGCACTCAAGCAGCTGCTGGTTGTTCCATCCTGGACGTGGATGTATGGCAGGGAACTGGCTGGCTGGCAGGATGCTGTGGGGCAAGGGGCTGTAACATGTCAGCCAGAGACCAAAAGGCAGAGAGGTAAGAACAGAGAGCAGGTGGGTTAATTTCTGAGGGGAGCACATGGGGCTGGTTGGTAGGTACAGTGGGGTGAGGAGCCCAGGGCACAAAGACATTTTGACTTGAAAAAATGCTGCGTGTCACACCCTGAAGCAGAAGCTGCATGGAGCTGCTGCCAGTCCAGCAGCAAACTACCTTCTCTGCTCCCCTGCTGCCTCAGCAGTGCTGCATCCTTGGTCTTGCCAGCTCCAGGGAGTGACTCAGTTATTCCCCTCACCTTTCTCCTGGCAGTTTTTGGCCTGATCAGCTCCCAGAACAGACACAGTATTCCCCCCCCGAGTGGTAACAGCCACACTCGCTCCTGTGGCCACAGTTTCTGCCATGTCCCTGCCAGGGATGGCCTCCAAAGGCAGCAGGCATGGGGTGCCCAGGAAGGCTCTTCTGGAGTGTGGGTAAGGCCAGTACTACTGCTTGGCAGTCATTCCCTCCCTTGGCTGCTCATGTTGTACGTGGTTAGCTCAAAATACAGAATCATGGAATGGTTTGGGTTGGAAGGGACCTTTAAAGATCATCTAGTTTCAAGTCCTCTGCATGGGCATGGACACCTCCCACTAGACCAAGTTACTCAGTGTCTCACCCAACCTGGCCTTGAACAATTCCAGGGTTAGGGCAGCCACAACTTGACTATTTTGTCACACATAAATAAATAAACAAACACCCCCATAATGTCTGTGGGCTCCAACCATTTTCCTTAGTCCAAAGGGCATTCACAGGGAAGCACCCTCACCCAAAGCTCAAGCCTGAGAAATCTGGGGGCAGTGTTAGGCCTAGACAAATCCTCAAGAGAAAAAAAAAAAAAAAAAGCACTGTGGTGTACATAAAAAGCAGACTGCAAGACAGTGTGACCGTGTTTCCTTATCTAGCCCAGCAGTGCAGCAAGAAGATGAGTCCCTCAGCCCTGTGCCAAGAGAGGCTGGGTCAAAGGCAAACCATGAGCAGCTCTCCCAGCTCTGACCCTGCAGAGACAGGCCCAAATACCCTGCAATCAGTGAGTCCCTACAGCAATAAGAGCCCTGTATATACAAGAAGAGGTGCTGCTGTACTAAAATAAGCTCACTGGGCATCTTTGCACCTCTCCCAAGTCCTGCTGCAGCTGCCACTGCCTGTACCAGCAGCAGCCTAAAGATGGTGGTAGAAAATCAAGGATCAAGATTTGCCTTTTGGTTCTGAAAGGTTTAGTGAAAGATTAGTGCAGTTCCTTGCTGAAATACTACCTTTGACAAACCAATTGAAGTGATTAATCACTCACTTTTCAGGTTTTGGTATTTACTTGTTTCACATCCATTGACAAGACAGTGAAGTCCCAGCTGCATTTAAAAGACTTTGCCATTGGTGCTGCTGCAGCTGTGATGGTATGAGGACACAGTCAGAAGGGCTGCAGTAGAGATAGTATCTCTCATTACCAACTGAGACAGGTGGCATAAACAAACTTTGGGGCATGCTGCCTTTACTTTAAATCTAATTTTTCTGTCTTTTATTTCCTTTATTATTATCTTCAGATACCCTTCTCTCCTCAGGCAGCAAAAGAAGAAGAAGAAATAACCCACATCAAGATGAAAATTAAAATGTTAAGCACTTGTATTCAGAGCTGGTTACAAAGAATTTCTAAAAAATATTATCCCCCCATCTTCTACTTTCTCTTTATGAAAATACTTGCTCTATAGGGATACAGAACTCAGTCAACAAGCTGAGTAATTTTCTCCTGGAAAGAAATTAGTCTCTTTTGAGGTCCAAAGAGTAAATAATTTGTTTTACAGCTTTTGTGGCATGATATTCACATGTTTATAGGTTAATAGAACAGAAATAGGGAATTGTTACCTTGATCACAGGCTTGGTTTTCTTTTAATTAGTTGGATAAATGAATGATGGCAAGTTACAATTGTTATTAGAAGTTTAATTAGAATTTTCCATAAATTCACAAGGCAGCTTGTTGATAAACCTTTCTCACCTAGACACAGCCTTGTCAACTTACTCAAATGATCTTTTATGGCCTGTTTGAAATACAAATCATTAATTTATTTTTTAAAAGTTGTTCCTAAGCGCTGACTAGAAAACTCATGTTTAAATGTCCAGTGACCCTTGGGATCAAATTAAGTTGCACAGTTTCCAAAAGCTTCCATACCTGTCTCCTCCTTCCACCCAAAATACGAAACTAAAAATGTAAGAGTTTTTCTTCAAAAAATTTCAGTAGGAAACAAAACAAGAATCAAGAACAGTATGTTCTGAGACATCAATTCATGTCTTCCAGGCTACTGTTTCTGCTTTAGATTTTTTATTTCATATTGTTAACATTTTTTATGTTTAATTTTTTACCTTTTTTTTTTTTTTTAAATAAAGCAACTTTGGGACATCCAAAACATACATGAAAAAATCATATTTTCTGAACAGCTGTCCCCAGACTGATTCTAGTAGCACCATGAGCAACAGGGATGCATGTTTATGTTAATATTTTTCTTGGAATTGCTCAGAAAACATTAGCCAAGGCAGAAGCCTGCACTGGCAAGGAGATTTATAGAGCAGAATTATCAGGACTACTCTCATGAACTGCAGCAAGACCACACAAGAAAAACAATGTATGACTTAGAGATCTTCTGGGGAAGAAAATCTAAACAAGTGACATTTGCTTTGCTGGCTGAAGTGTAAGACAATAAGGAAGAGGAGCTCTTATTTAAAAACAGAGCTCTTTAGCCAAAGATAGAGCCTGGCTGAAGTTAGTGAGAAAACTTTGAGATGAGACCTGTGAATATGAAGTTCATAAGCAGAAATGGAATGAAATCCTGGGACTGCTGAATCCGCAGTGACCCTCCTCATGGGCATGGTCATCCCTGTCATCCATGATGAAACCTAACTGCATTAATTTTTCTTGGAGGAAAGGCTGTCCACATGTGAACTGACTGTTGTTCACAGCACTTGGGCTTCTCCCCGGGCTCTAAAAATAGTGTTTGGCTGTGTTCCCAGGTGGTAAAAGCAAAATCTTTCATGCTTAAGGGATGACAGTGGAGGAAGGAAAACAGAAGGCAAATCAGACCTGAAAGATGGACAGGATCTGAGCACTAGGAAAGAAGAAGACAAGAAAGCACAGGGGAGCTGTGGGGCAGAGGTGCTGCCATGCTGCTACGGAGTGGCAGCCATCCCACCCTCCCTGGCAGGGAGATTCCCACCCAGCCTAAGGAATCGTGGCTGGGGGGGGCAGTGGGTGCAGAGCCAGGCTGGCCTCAGGTACGGGAGGCACAGCCTCCTGCTCTGATCTGAGTGACTCATTCAAATAGGTGGGCACAGATCTTTCCTCAAGAAGATGAGACAAAGAAATTTTCAAGCAGCTCCAACAAGCTTAGCTTTGGTCTTGCTAAGCTGAACATGCTCTTGCTATTTTCAACTCACTGCCTTAGGCAAGCAGACTGAGGAGGCTACGGGGTGTGGAGAGGGTTCTTACCAAAGCAGACAGGGACATCGTGGGACTGCTGTAACTCCTTTTGTACACCAGTAACTGGCCTCCTTCCTCTGTCCTGGGACATGACCTGCCACCCCTCCTTGAGTGTCCCAGGCAATGGGCTGCTGGGAATTAGTCAGGCTGCGATCCAGAGCAATACCCAGATGCCAACTCTTGGGAAAGCCATTTCAAAGCAGGATGTCCAGCTGTGTGCTCCACCACTAAATAACAGGGCTGCATGTGAGGAACAGCTGACAGCCTGGCTCTCCTGAGGAACCATAACTTCTGCAGGGAGCTATGCTGAGCTTTGGCAGCAAAGAAAAAACCCAGCTATTGCTTTCCTCTGCTGTGGTGTTCAGATGCAGAGCTGACCCCCCTTCCTTTCCACACAGGATGGGGAGAACGGCCTGGAAAATACTCCAGCCCTCAGGCTTCACTTCTCATAGGCAAACATGCTCTTTACCTCACTGCTATCTTAAACAAATATTTCTCCAAGAATGTTGTCAGGTCTCTAGTCTGATGCCATTAATTGATTTCCATTAAACAAGAGGACAGCTTATGTTCCAGATAAAATACTGCCTGCAGATCAGCCCCTCAAACCCCTATTGTTGCTAATGAACTATAATGTGGATCAGCTCAGTGCCTCTTCCAGCTGGTACAACTTGTGCAGACCACCTGGGTCTTGCAATAAAGACAGAGAAAAACAGTGTAGGGTGTTTCTTGCTGGCTAATTAGTATCTCCAAGCAAATTCGGCCAGAAGTGCAGTTTCAGCTGCTGTGGGAGAAATGAAAAAACACAGAAGTCAGGGGTTTGATCATAGTCCAGAGCACTGAGAGGCCATTTCTTGACTGCCAGTTCAAGATAAATACCCCATCACTGCTCTCTGCGCTCAGGACTACGCAGCCAAATTAGTGGCAGTCACAGGGATGCAGGGTCCTGGCATTTACCTTACTCATGAAAAAGGTGTCTTAGATAGTAATTGAAAGCCCGGGTTGGCATCAGCACAGGAGAGCACACTTCAAAACCAAGCTCCCAGCTTGTGTGAGAAGGATTTGCATGTGCTCCGCTGCTCAGCTCACCCGGCTGTCATGGATCTGTGTTTCCATGACTCGCCGGCCCCTCCTCTGGCTCCGAGCACTTGCAGCTGAGCTCTTTGGCCAAACAGCCCTTGCTGAAATGTCAATACACTACTGGGACGCTGGCTTGCAGGGTTCATCATGGTTTCCAGGCAGTGCATGGCTTTGTTTCTCTGCTTTCTGCTACTGATTCCTCTTTCTCTGGATGCAGGTATGTCACAGGATACGGCTGTAATTATGTTTACTGGCAATGGGCCTCTCTCCTGTTGCTCTCATGTAATTTTCATTGCAAGTGTTGATTGAGATCTGTTGCATGTTTGTCCTGCCTCTGGTTGTGTCTGTTAGTTATTCTGAGGCTCTTGCTTGCTCTCAGTGATGGCCTCCACGAGCTTATTTTGCCAACCAAGGAAAAGCACCTCTATACTGAGAAATGAATCTGTTGTCTCACTGCACAGGCAGCAGGCAAACCATCATCTGTCTGCCCACTACGCGAAAAAAGGAACTTGGTTTAATTGTTATTTCCTATTGAACTGTGGTATTTTTCAAGGCAAAGAATCAATAGCTTGCCATTCAGCTGGTGAGAAATTAAAGAGGTGAGAATCCACCCTGTTCCAGCAGCGGTAGAAGGCAGTGAGGTGGTAGCTCTTTGGTGGCTCCAGCACATGTTTGAAAATCATCTCTCAGATTAATAAGGCAGCCCCAGTGCTTTCAGATTCCCAGTCAGGCGTTGACTGGGTCTCCTGTATTGCAGTGAACAAAGCTGGAAAAACACACAGCAAAGCCGAACACGTTCCAATGCAAATAAGTGGGGAACACCCAAATCAAAGCAGGAGGATGTTCCCTGCCACGCACCCGGGCGTGCTCCTCGGTCAGAGTCTGTGCCTGTGCACTGGTACATGTGCCATGTGTCTCACTGTAAGGTTAATTAAAAGCCTTTAAAGAAAGTCATATTAAATGCATACAGCCTGACTTGAAATTATGGCAGACAGATCCGGCTGACATTCCTACAATGGACAAATGTTTATGAAGCATCCTGGGATAAATTCAATGCATGTCACCACAATATTTTACTTCTTCAAATAACTTTGAAATATAGGGAAAACTGCCAGTATTTTGCATGTAATTTGGCAAATGTTCTGATTAGACACCTCACCTGACTCTTCAGGACCTGTGTTTGGGTGCTTGTTGGTGAGAACACATGAATCTTGTCCTTCAGCGACCACCTCAGGGCCTTTCTAGCAGGTAGGAGGTAACTCCTGCTCTCTCTGGGTTGTGTAGTGGAGAATGTCTTGGGGGAAAGGCAGGTGATATGCATCAGCCTCAATCCCCAACTCAACCCAGAATCCCAGATGAAAGAGTTAAAACTGCTGAATGTAAATTGTAGTAATGAAGCTCCAGAACTTCCCACTGACATGGAGGACAAAAAAATGCAAAATGAAGTGTTTCAAAACTTGTGCTGTGTAGTACATGGAGCAAAAGTACATCACAGCACGGGGACTTCTTGTTCCTTATCCTGAATTACAGTGGGAGGGCATAGTTGTGTGATGTGCTTGTACCTTGAAGTTCAGGAACAAGGTCAACGTGATGATAATGCCATTAGCTCTTTCAGTACACACTTTTGTCAGCTGGAAACCAACATAGCTCTAGGAAGCAAGCTCTGCTGGTATCTGCTGTCAAAGCTATGTACCCATTGTCTTTCCAAAACACAGCACAAATGCACAGGAGGAAAATCCCTGTGACTGTGGCCTGTGGTGTTGGTTCCTCCACTAGGAAATGCAAACAGCATAGCCCAGACTTCCTACATACCTTAACATAGCCTTTTTAACAGAAGAAAACCAAAGATAAACATATTCCAACAGTGGTTTTAAAACTGTGGTCTGGTAGTGGTGGGATAAGTCCCTTCTACAGATCCAAAGGGTCTGAGATAACAGGGGTGAGGAATGGAGTGCTGGGGAGTTAGAGGTGATTGTGGTCCACTTGCCACCAAGTGACTTACTGTAGAAAATATGGGAAAGCCAGGTGTTGCCATGTACATCAGCACTAGGTGAGCTTCTCAGCCGCTACACCTGAAAGAAATGGGGCTGCGTGTGCTGAGACGCGCGATGGTGCTCCAGGAGCCAACGACACACCACACTGGTGCAGCTTTGCCACCTCCCTTCAGGCTGTGGCCTTCAGCTCGTGTGCTGCCACTTCACCTGAGAGGCAGGCGGTGAAAGGAGGCTCTCCCACATTTACCCATTTCTTTTCTAAAGGGTCTCAGGAAAAGCTCAAGGGGCAGGAAAGGTTTCTGGGGAAGCGGCACCCCTGTCCTCCCTCCCCAGGGAGCGCGGCTGTCGGGCAAACAGAGCACGCCCCTGTTTTTCAGTCTTTCTAAAGAAAGAAGAGGCAAGCAGCATTTTGCAAAGGAAAAGACGAGCCAACAGCTTCTTCGAAGAGATAAAACTGGGGTCACTGGAGCGAGAATGCATGGAAGAAAAGTGTTCCTTTGAGGAAGCGAGAGAGATTTACCATGACGACGAAAGGACGGTAAGTAACACCAGGCTGGGCGAGCGCTCACTGCCCCGTGGGCTCCCACTACTCAAGGGTGTGCTTTGTCACTTTCAACAGGGACAGCAAAAAAGCACTCTCTGTCTTGCTGTCTGCACCTTTCTCTTACACTTATAGGGGCACGCACCACAGGAGTGAGTTGCAGGAGGGGCCCCCCCAGGCAGTACCAATCTGGGAGACGTTGGGAAAGTTCCTGCTCCCTAAGTCATCTCCCCAGGCTCCCAGTAACTCCTGGCCTGACAATACCTGAAATTATTGTCTTGTGCAACGTCTGTTTCAGTCAATCCCACCTCTGCTATCCAGAGGTTATTGACGGATAACCTATTTGTGTGTATTACACAGTGTCCTCCTCTATTGGTGTATGAGAATAATGTAGAATCTAGGAAATAATATAGATATTTTATGGATATCAACCGTCCTGAATTATAAAGGCACAAGAGGCATCACTGTGACTGCCTGCAAAACCTGTGCTACAAGGGCTGTAGGACTTAACCTAGGTTAATTTTTCTTTAATTAAATCTCACATCTTTTTCTTCCAGAAAGAGTTCTGGCACATCTATTCTGGTATGATGTTTCGGGATGTTCTAGCACCTGCAAAACCACCCCCACTGCTGCAGCTCTTCACGTGAGCCAAGCTGACACTGAATGTTTTTCAGACCCTGACCAGTGTGAATCCAACCCCTGCCAGAACGGCGGGAGCTGTGATGACCAGTTTCAGGATTACGTGTGTCGCTGTCCCATCGAGTATGAAGGGAAAAGCTGTGAAATAGGTCAGCTCTTGCATAGCTTAACAAAATAAAAATGTCATTATCATTTCAAATGCAAGCCATTGAGATAAACAGCAGCAATCATTTTCATTCTGCTTCATTCTGTCAGTGACAGCTATGGTTCACACTGCCTGCAGTGCCGTGTGATGGATCTAACCAGCTGGTAGTCAGGCACTGCAGGTCACCAAGACAATTAATATCTTCAGATGAATTTGTAAAAAAAAAGACTTTTTTGAGTGGTCTGACAGAAAATGAGGAATTTATTTCCTACACAAGTGCTGAAGTTACTTTGGCTTAGCAGATCAGAGCAGGATGTAAGTGAGAACTACGCTGCGTAAGAATCACACAACGTCCAAGGGGTCAGTGGTTAGTTAAGTCTAGTTAAGTCTTCCCATTGATTTCAGTGGGCATTACATACTCAGTGTTACACCCTCAGAACATGCTGATCCCAGACAAGGATTAGGCACTTGTCAAGTCTAACCAGACCATCTCAACACTCACCACAGAGCACCCTTCTGCCAAATGGCAAAATACAAAATGGTTCTGTTTTTTCAGTCATGTATTATGATGGTTACCACACAATTTCAACACCTGAAGACAGCTCAGATACTGTATCAATGCAGACTGGATTAATTTTAGGTGTATGTTTCTAAGGCATAGACTTTTCCTCCCTAATCCCTAGAGATCCAGCTCTGTCAAATGGAAGGCATTTTTCATGCAGCCACCTCACATAAACCATAGAGATCTGCTCTGCTGCCTCGCTTCCCAGTCAGCGTTTCCCATTGCAACTGAGTCATGTGAAGCACCAAAACCTGCACTTGGAAACCTAAATACTCTCTTTCTGACTCCAGCCCCGGCTGACAGGCTGAGGTGCAGGTATGACAACGGTGGCTGTGAGCAGTTCTGCACTGACCAGCAGTCTGACCGGCGCGTCTGCTTCTGTGCCGACGACTACGCTTTGGCCAGCGACGGCGTCTCCTGCCTTCCCCAAGGTAAGACACTACACCAAGTCTCAGCCAGCCCTGGAAGAAAAGTTCTCAACACATACACATCAGAAGGGGTGCAAGGGGCCGTAGCCACCAGCTGCCCAGCTCTTCTAGTTTAGAGCAGTTGGTTTGGGCTTCTGGTGGAAGGTCAGACACCCCAGAAAAGCAATCCAGGAAGAGTGCACAGCGAGCAGGGAGCCTTTTGGACCCCTCCTTCCTGGCCCCAGAGGTAAAATATTTGGGGAAAATATTTTTGGGGCAGCACTGTATCAGTGAGGATGGATTTCATTGTGTATTTATGTCAGGAGAGGAGTCAAGATAGGAAGATGCCAATTAAAACCAGGCAAAATAAGTTATTCTTTTTCTTAATCTTTCTTTTTTCTTTCCTATTTGGTAGGACCACGACACTTTTTATATTCCTCTAGACACTACAGCTACACTACATTACTACACTACAACTCTTACTCATCCAACAAGATAAATTTCAACTGGGACTAGGATACCACAAGTTAATTATTTTTCCAGTACATAAGCTGGCACCTCACTCTGCTGTAGATGTCTATTTCAATTACTGTATTAGAGGTGAAAAAGAGCCCCCTGGGATATGAAAATAACAGTCAGAGCTGTAGGGAGCATGCAAAGTAATCCTGAGGGTTACTGGCCCTTCTACATACACCTCAGTGGAGCACTCATGCATAGAACTGATAATGACAAGCTTGCTATTTCATTAGAAAACAGTAAGTCTAGTGAGGTGCTTATCCCTTATTAGCAGATTCTGCAATGTCACGTGATGGGGGAGCTGCTTTTGTTAAAAGCTGAGAACAATAAAACCAACATTCCCCACAGGCTTTTAAGCATGTCTGCCTCTCTGAGGAAGCTGTATTTGTTGCTACTTGCTTTTTGGGGACCTAAACATCTGTAGCACTGACCATGTGTTGCAAGAAGACAAACCAGACTGCCAGGCCCTTCACTGTCCTTCTGTCATCTCTCAAAGTGTCCCTTCCAAATGCCCAAACTTGTGCTGCCCTGCATCTGGCATCAGAGGGGATGGGTTTGTGTTACATCTATGCTGACCTGGCACCAGCTGCTACCAAAGATCCTGTCCTGTTTGCCTATACCTGTAAAATCTTGACGCTCCCTTTGCATCAGCGAAGTAATTGGCACGTTCAGGATATTACAGATCCATGAAGCTCTTGGATTCAACTCAGCACAGGGGCCTGGCTCCCAGAGTGATAGGCAGTGAGTTCTCCTCCTCACAGCATTAACGCGGAGTGGTCTTGTTATTGCTGGCTGGAAGGGATGGTGTGTTCAGTCAGGGCCAACTGCATCCTGGGCTGCATCAAAAGAAGTGTGTTCAGGGAGGTGATTCTGCCCCTCTACTTTGCTCTGGTGAGGCCACACCTGGAGTTCTGTGTACAGTTCTGGTGCCCTCAGCACAGGAAAGACATGGAGCTGTTGGAGAGGGTCCAGAGAAGGGCCACCAAGATGACCAAAGGACTGGAGCACCTCTGCTATGAAGACAGGCTGAGGGAGTTGGGGCTGTTCAGCCTGGAGAAGAGAAGGCTCCAGGGAGACTGTATAGAGGCCTTCCAGTACCTGAAGGGGCTACAGGAAAGCTGGGGAGGGGCTTTTCACCAGAGAAGGCAGTGATAGGACATGGGGTAATTGTTTTAAACTGAAAGAGGGGAGATTCAGGTTAGACATCAGGAAGAAATTCTTCACCATGAGGGTAGTAAGGCACTGGAATAGGTTGCCCAGGGAGGTTGTGGAAGCCCCGTTCCTGGAGGTGTTTAAGACCAGGTTGGATGAGGCTTTGTGCAGCCTGGTCCAGTGTGAGGTGTCCCTGCTCATAGCAGGGAGGCTGGAACCTGATGATTTTTAAGGTCCCTTCCAACCTTAGCCATTCTATAATTCTATGATAAGGATGTACTAAAACCACCAAGGCTTCCTCAGCACTGCAGCAGATTTGATTCTCTTATTGCCAATCTTCACGATTGCTCAAGCTAAAAACGGGCCTTGAGCTGAGATATGCAGTCTGGAAGTAACAATAATGCTCTGGACCCTAGGAAACTGGGCACAGTCTCCCAGGAGGCATACCAGAAGGCACAGCAGATCTGCTCTTAAATGATCTTCAGGTCCACCCAAACAAGGGATAGCAAGCTGCACATTCCATGCTTCAGCCTGTGTCTCAACATGCTGTGGATGTTGTACACTTGGTACAAACGAGTTAAAGGCAGCATGGCTCCTGAAAATATGTAGGCTCCAAAGCTTGACAGAGTAATTTCTACTCTCTAGCCTGCAGCCCACCATCATTGTGGTGACACAAATCTTAAGCAGGTGTATTGTTTACAAACTCCTGTGGTAGGAGAATATATGTCAATGATACTGAGTGGGTCTGCACTCTATTTGTAAAAGCATTTCTGGCTCTTTTCAAACAAAACGACTCCCTACCTGCTGAGCTGTTTTAAATTACTTTTAAGAACCCACGCTGTCAGATGAGAAACCAGTTTTTCAGCTAACATAACTTCACTGAAGACCTCACACATTTTACTGTGAATTCAGTGCAACAAAATCACACTTGCTGCCCTTTGGTTTGTTTGTTTGTTTTTCTTCTTTTTTTTTTTTTTCTTTCCAGTGAAATACCCATGTGGAAAAATACCAGTGCTGGCAAAAAAAAATGCAACTGCACAGGGAAGAATAGTAGGTGGTTTAATTTGCCCACCAGGTGAATGTCCATGGCAAGTGAGTTTTCAAAAATCTTTCATTGCCTTTTTTTTTTTTTTCCTTATGGAACCACTATCTTAAATTCATAGTTTTAAATCTATTGGGTTAAAAATTCATAAAATGTGCCAGGTCTGGACAACCAAATTCCTGCTTCATCCATAGCCAGATGATCCACCTGGTTCAATCATGCACCTTAGCCTTGTTCTGGAGTGCCTGCTTTCATCGGAGTGGAGTGGTGGTAACACAACCTCCTCTGTCTCCTCAGTCCTTACCCTTACTGCCAGGGATAGACTCTTGGCCATAACAGGCAGAGTCTATATGACAAGATGGAGAAAATGCCAATGGAAAGACTCCCCCTCCTCCTAAATTCTCCAGACAACCAGCACCATGATCTCAAAGGCAGTTGCATGAAATGACAGAAGGAAGCAATGTACCTGACCACTGAGATTTGGGTCATTTAACGTGACACATCAATTTCTTTTATGTTGGCAGGCCCTTTTAATACAGAACCAGGTAGAAAAGTGTGGAGGTACCCTGCTTTCCCCAGAGTGGGTGGTCACTGCAGCTCACTGTTTGGAATTCACTCATCCTAAGCAGCTTCGGGTGAGACTGGGTATGTATCTTCCCCTCCTCACGTTATCGAGCTGTGGCTGTGGTGGCAGCTTCTCATCCTGGCAAACCAGAAACAAAGACAAAAATGCAGGCTTTGGCAGAGTAAGGGAATTGTCCTTAAGAAGCGTCAGATTAGAAACCCCCCATCTCTGCAGACTCCTGAGGAACCAAGGAGCTGCTGTCTGACGTGACCCACGACTTGTAACTTTTCCAGGTGAGCACAAGATAAATGACGATGAGAAAACTGAGCAAGAAAGTGGAGTTGCCAAGATGATCATCCATGAAGGATACACGATTGGACAGGTGAATAACGATATTGCCCTCCTCAGGCTGGAAACACCTGTGAATCTCACCGACTACGTGGTGCCAATATGCTTGCCTGAAAGACGGTTTGCAGTGCACGAGCTGTCCTCCATCAAGTTCTCCACAGTGAGTGGATGGGGACGTCTCCTAGACAGAGGTGCCACCTCTTATGTGCTGATGAGGGTTGATTTGCCACGTGTAAAGACACAAGAATGTGAAAAGGAGACCAATCTAAATATTACAGAGAATATGTTCTGTGCAGGAGACCTGACCGGTGCTAAAGACTCCTGCAAGGGAGACAGTGGTGGACCTCATGCTACAAAGTACAAGAACACCTGGTTTCTGACTGGGATTGTCAGCTGGGGAAAGGGCTGTGCAGTCAAAGGCAGCTACGGGGTTTACACAAGGGTATCCAAATACATCGACTGGTTGAAGAAGCACATGGACTCATGATGTTGAATCAGGGCATTTCCAGGTTTGTGTCATTGTCCCTCAATCCCTCTGTGCCCCTTTCCTATTGAAGCATTTCTTTGTTATCTCAGATATGTGATACATGTGATACACCCACCCCACTATTACTAATTTGAAATGAGCCTAATGCCTACTTTAACATATAAAATAACTTCCCTGTTGGTAGTGTTTGTAAACTTACGTGTCTTGTCAAGCAGGCACAGAACAGCTATAACGAATCAGGCTCAGAGTCCCTCTCATTCTGCATGCACTTTCTGCTAAGGGACAGAGCTAGATGCTGGAGAAATACTGCCAGCAACACACCAAGCAGACCATGATTCTTCCTCCAGCTGCCCTCCCATTTTCTGGTAATCAGTGATGTACAGACTTCCTGAGCCAGAAGTTGCATGAGGTTGAACAGTCACGAATGAACCTGTTGTCCACAAATGTATGCAATCTCTTTCAAGCACATTTATGCTTCTGGCTTTCACAACTTCCCATGCTGATGGATCCTGTAATGCAATAATGCAATAGCAGAAGAAATAGAAAAAGTGTTTGTTTTAGCTTATGTTAAAGTAGCTTTTTCCAACAGTTGCGGTGGCAACAGGTAGATTTGAGGGGGAGGAAGTGTAGAGAGTCTCCAGGACAAGAAAGCTGGGAAAAGGTTAATTCCACATTTACAGGTCTGCCATGAAAATTTGATTTTAGCCTTCTTCTACCAAGCATTGCTGCTATTATTAAGGCAATTAAGTGTAATGTTTAACCCTGTATTTATGAGTGGTGTAGAATGCCACTGATTTAATCTCATCTTTGCCTTGGTATTACGTTTGTCAATACAGAAGAGGGCAAAGGAAAGGGAATGTTTGTCTAATATACTGTCCAGCATAATCTAAATCATACTGTGTGTCACAAGATCTGAAGCCAGAACAGAATAATTGTCTGACTATCTACAGAACACTAGCCAAAGACCATTCCTTAAAGCCCTAGTGAATAAACTGTAGAGCCTGAAGAGCTCTGAAAACATCATCAATTGTATCATTCAAAAAAATGTACCTTCTAATCTAAGCATGAAAAAATGAGGGAGCTAAAACTGACCATGAGATTAGACAACAGTTTGAGTATCTTATGCAAAACTTACACTTCGGACTGATTTAAATCATGCTGGATATCAGTTCAATCAGAGAAGCTTATCAGCAAGTAGGACACTTAGAATGCACCACACTAAATTATTAGGGGAAAAGATTGACATTATATGGCACATATACCATGCAATACTCCCATAACCTGCTTCTTTACCTAAAACTACACTGTTCCTCTAAGTAGTTAACTAAATTGGGGAAAAGCAGCAAATTCCAGAGACCTGAGAAACAAGAGGTCTTACACTATGAAAACATAGCCCAGAGGTTCTTACTACTCCTAAAAGGAAAGCCTATATGCCAGCAGAGCACATTCCCAGGGAGGACAGCAACCAGGAGCAGTGACCAACAAACAAAACCTAATTTTTAATGAGACAAAGCACTCAGCATTGCAAAATCACCCCTCCAAAGCCCTCAAGCTAGAATAGTTCAGGGTTTTCCATGCTCTGTAGGATGATTTCCTCTCTGTAACATTCCAGTGTAAATATTGACATTTAAGAACAAATCATCATCTTGCAGAAAAAGGGCAAAACGCTGAAAGAAAACAACCAGTACTCATGGCTGCACAGAGTGACTTTTCCAAACCAAAGCTGCGTTTTACGTACGTTTTTAATACAACAGCAGACTCTGGAAGCAGTGAAGACATGGACTTCACAGTGCAGAGAGACCTCATCTGAGGGACAACCTCCCAAAAAAGGGAGGATGGAGACCGGATCCTGGTGATCCCCAGGCCAAGGTCACTGAGCAATGGGTATCAAAAGCAGGGAGCCAGCCAGCTGTGGTGTTGGGATGTGGGAAATGTGGGTGGCAGCTGCCAAGGAGATTGGGTGCTTTCATAGAATCACTGAGTGGTTTGTTGGGGTTGGAAGGGACCTTAAAGTTTATCCAGTTGCAACCCCCCTGCATGGGCAGGGACACCTCTCATTAGATCAGGTTGCTCAGAGCCCCATCCAACCTGCCTTGAACATCTCCAGGGAGGGAACAGCCACAGCTTCCCTGGGCAACCTGTGCCAGTGTCTCACCACCCTCACAGAAAAGAATTTCCTCCTAATGTCTGACCTAAATCTCCCTTCTTCCAGCTTTGATCCATTACCCCTTCTCCTCTCACCTACAAGCGCCTGCAGAAAGTCTCTCCCCAGCTTTCCTGTAGCCCCTTCAGGTACTGGAAGGCTGCTACGACATCTGCCCGGAGCCTTCTCTTCTCCAGGCTGAACAACCCCAGCTTTCTCAGCCTTTCGGGGTGGGACCCCGGCTTTGCCCCTGCTGCCATCTCTGGCCGGGGCGACCAGCCTAGGGCAGGCGCTTGTTATTCAAGTGACGATTCGCCTCCCGCCCCAAAATAACAGGTACAATTAAACAAAACTTCCTTGGATTTTAAACAAAACAAAACCAAAACCAGACCCTCAGCAGCAGCGGGCACCCCCCGCACCTCCCGTCTGAGAAATCCCGCGGCGATTTTCCCCGGCGCTTCCGCTATTTCTGGGCAGGGTGAAGCAACGCGGCTTCAGTCTCTCTCCCCGCCCGGAGGGGTGAAGGCTCCGGCTCCCGTCCCGTCCCGTCCCATCCCGTCCCGTCCCGTCCCGTCCCGTCCCGTCCCGTCCC